CCCCGTGGAGATTCGGACCCTCACCACCCTTCAGGCTTTCCGTAAAGCCCTTAAAACCTGGCTGTTCCGGCAGGCCTGGGACTGCTGAGTCCCATCCCCTACTCGAATGGGTATGTGTGTTGAGACCTTTTAGACTGTTTTGTACTGTTGTTTGTTTTTGGTGGTTTTCCTTTTTGTATTGTCCTCCCCACCCCCCTTGGTTTTGTTAGCCGCCCTGAGTCCCTTGGGAATAGGGCGGCATACAAGTCAAATAAAACCTTCAAACCTAAGAATCACCCTGAAACCATTAGAACCACATAGCATTTCTGCCACCAATGATGCAATATCATTACAAAATGAATCAGCTGTTGAAACTGGAAGTCTCCTAAGAAATCTGTTCTTTGCCATTTGAAAGCCAGAAAGGCAACACAGGTCTATTGGGAAGAGCCCCAGTGTGTCGTCCAGCCGGCCGGCCGGCCCCCCTCCCCCAACCATTCATGTTCTCAAGTGAGCACAGCTGGCTGATGAGGGACCTTCCAGCCCAGCCTGAGAGGGAAGGCACAGCTGGGACACTCGGCAGAAGAGGTTTTTCCCCCTGTCCATGTTGGGACAGAACATGGGGGCGGTGCAAGGGGGGAGAAAGTGGGCTTCTCCATTCACCCCTCCTTGTTTGGCCTCTACCCAGGGGCCTCCTCTCCAATTCTTGAAGGTATCTTGTGGCTGCATTTTATATCTTTCCTAGCAAAGAAATTGTTTCCTTTTTTATTTTAGTCCTCCCCCTCCCATAAAAGTTGTTGCCCTATTTAAGTTAACCAACCATTTGATTTTCTCATATGGATAAAGAGCTGTTCTTTCTGTACCCTGAGAATGCTTCTAGAGGGAGAAGGAATTGATACAGGGCAGTCTTGTAAATAGACTCTATGTCTTGTTGGGCTGCGCATAACTCAACATGTGTAAGTGATATCAAACAAGGTGTGGTTGCCAAGCCCCAGGGCCCCTGGTTCCTCGGCCTTGGCAGGACAAGAGGGTCTTCCCTTGGAGAAGAAGGAAGACAAGAAGAAATCAGAGTTTTAGCAGCAAGGATGGAACCAGGGAATCTGTGGGAGACCTCCTCGATCTGCACAGTTTATCTGTTCTGCGTTCCACGCTGCCATACTGATTGCAGGATCAAGATCAAAGACTGCCATCAACGAGTGGCATCAAGGGCGCAGAACCCTCTTTCCTTTCAAGGGGCTCCATGCAAACATTGGGTGCCATCCCAGGAGTCCTTGGGCAATTTGGAGGCATCTTTGTAGCTTACAGGGATTGGATGAGGAGTGCATGTCTGGTTGCACTCCGCTGACACTTAGATTGCTGCAGGGAAGTGAACCTGAACAAATGTTTTTCAGCCAAGCACTCAAGAGGCACCAGTAGTGGAACATGGCCAGCAGGGGGTCAGCCATTACCTCCTCAATTCAGCCAACCCTGAGGACAGACAGGGCTGATGGAAGCATTGCTTCTTCTGTTGGGTAGCACAGGAAGCTGGACTAGTAAGAAAGGCCACATCTTCTTTTGCTACAGGTTGTAGGATTCCTAAAGCCCTCACTGCTGCCATCTATGACTGAAGAGGAGGCGAACTGTAGTGTATCTGTTCTTTCTCACATTAAGAGTGGCACATTGCACTTTGCAGGTCCACTGGGGAAGCGGTGCGTGCAAGACCAGGCTTGCTGGAGCCGGCTTCTGCTTCTCATGAGTCAGGGCAACCAACTTTCTTGAGTTGAGTTGGAGCGCATGGAGAAGCACAGCAAGGACTTTGCCTCTGATATCTTCCCTGGTTAGAATCCAACTTAATGCTCTGTAATCCAACCGTCACAGGAATCCAGCAATGACACTACAAGCAAGACTGTGGCCACCTCTGGCCAAAGAACCAGGAGAGTCCTGTTTTTTTTTATTTTTTATTTTTTATATTAAAATTTATAGGCCGCCCTTTTCCCTGAGGGGACTCAGGGCGGCTTACAATCACAAGGGAGGGGGGTGCAGTATCAAAAGACAAAACAAAATGTGAACAAAGAAAAAATAATAAAACACAACTTTCGTTCAGCAATCAACACTCGGGCGGGTAGCTTGGAAATTCAATGCTATTCTATTCCATGCTATTCTACCTTACCCTCCCCCATATTCTATTCTATTCCATGCTATTCTACCTTACCCTACCCCATATTCTATTCTATTCC